TCGCTTTAGTAAAGCTGGTTACATAGACAGAAGGAACGATCCGATCCTATCCTGGTTCAAAAAGGAGTAAAATAGGGCGGTCCTATGTCACCGATTTTGTTTAACTTATGTATGGACCCTTTGCTTTGTAAATTAGAAGAGAAAGGTAATGGATTCCAACTAGGTATTGGTAAAGTAACAGCCACGGCTTTTGCTGACGATTTGGTACTGCATAGTGATTCGTGGGATGGTATGACAAAAAACATTGAATTTGAAGAAGCATTTTGTAAATTAACCAGACTTAAAGTGCAAGGTGAGAAATGCCATGGATTTTATATTCATCCGACAGAAGATGCATATATAGTAAATGATTGTCCTACATGGATAATCAGTGGTACCCACTGCACATGATAGAACCAGGTCATTTGGAAAGATATTCAGGTCTACAAATTGACCCTTGGGTGGGGATATCCAAACCAGATTTATTCCTTAAAATTCAGAATTGGCTACATTGTATTGAGAGGTTCCATTAAACCTCTCCAAAAGGTCGATATTTTAAAGAAATATGCCATTCCACGAGTGATATAGTTGGCAGACCATTCAGATGCAAAGGCCACATATCTTGAATCACTTGATCTGTCTATTCAAACTGCAGTGAAAAAATGGCTGCATCTGCCATCTACCACTTGTGACCCTATGCTCTATGCTAGTATTAAAGATGGAGGTCTAGGCATTGTTAGGTTAACAGCATTATTACCTAGTATACAAGCTTGGAGGTTACATAGAATTGCACAGTCCTCTGATGTGTTGATTCAATCTATGATGAAGGAAGAGGGTATAGATAAGGATTATATTAAATTAGGGGTTGTAGCAGGAGGGAATAAAGATAGGATTCCATCGATACGGGATCCCACGACTAAAATTGTAGTACCTACTGATTTTGATAGAGAACATCTGAGTGGGAATTAGCTAACCCAGAAATTATTTTTCCAAAACCCTGTAATTGGCGAAAACAAAAATTTAATAATTAGACTGATTTACCCTCTCAGGGTTGTGGGATTATAAATTTTATGGATGATAATATAAGTAATAACTGGTTAGAACAATATAGAGGCATTCCCCAATGAAAGCTTCTGACAGCTTTACAAGTTAGGGCCAATGTGTATCCAACTAGAGAATTTTCAGCCAGAGGTAGAAGGGATTGTGTAGTACAGCAGTGTCAGCATTGTCAATCAGAAATTGAGACCTGTGCACATATAACTGGGTATTGTCCTGCAGTCCAAGATGCAAGGATTAAAAGACATAATCAATTATGTGAGTTATTATCTAGTGAAGCAAAAAAGAAAAAGAAAGATCGGATTGTTTTTCATGAACCATCATTGAGAGATGAGAATAATGAATTATTTAAACCAGAATTGATACTTGTAAAAGGCACACAGGCATTGGTGGTGGACGTAACTGTAAGATATGAGAGCAAACCATCATCTTTGGCTGACGCTGCAAATGAGAAAGTAAGGAAATGTCAACATCTTACTACACAAGTACAGGAAATAACTAATGTTACTACAGTTAAATATATTGGCTTTCCATTAGGTGCTCATGGTAAATGGTTCTCAGACAACTACAAATTACAAACGGAATTGGGAATCTCTTAAGTCTTGTCAGCTAAAAATTGCAAGGTGGATGTCAAACTGGGCTTTGCTTAGTTCAGTGGATATTGTTCACGTATTTGCGGGTAAAGCGCCGTCAGTTGTTAACACTTGTAGTGGTGAAGTTGGTAATAAAGGTGTCACGGGTGTAATGGATAAGGAGGGCCAAAAAGGGGATTTCTGGTAATGATTGCAACCTCATGAGGCGTTCACTGAGCCGACACCATCTGCCGGTGAGGGCACAGAGGTGGAGGAGGCACCTCACTTAACTGGGGAAGGAACGTGTCCTGCACTCGTTAAAGAGAGCGGCTTTTGTCTGGGGCAGTGGCCTCCGGAAGAGCACTTCAGGCATTGGCCAAGCACTTGACGGCTCTTTATACAAATCGTGCAATATGAGCTTGCAATCCAGCTGAGTATATAAAAGACCTTACATGGATATCAGTGTCTCTCCAGAGATATATTTTGAAAATCTATACTTTTTATATAAAAACACATTTATGTTTTTATCACTTGGCAAAGATGAACGCCTGCAATCGGGAGAATCAGCATAATGATTCAATCCCTTTCCTCTAGAAAAAGAAAAATGCACCCTTAGTAAACATTCTTTCTTAATTATTTACTTTAAGGGCTTCCTTTGTTACTTCATCTTGCACTTAGAGTGAACCCAGTTAAAGTGAGGCAGGATCTTCTTGGAGAGATCAGATTGATCAGCTGATAATTGAGGCTCCTGTACTTTATTTCTAAACACACTTCAAAATATTTTACTAATGGTTAAAAATTAAACACAAATCTAACAACTGGCATTCAAAGGAATCCCAGCTAGAGGAATTTGTCTACAAAGAGAGATAAAATTTCATCATGCGAGTGGTCCCAGTTTTCTTGGTTCTCTTGTCTCTCTTTTGTTTTTGTGGATCAAAGGTAAGAATTTATTTTATTGCAATAGCAGTAATTAAAATAATAAAAAAAAAGAAAACCAAGCAATTTATTGTTATGAAAATAAAACCAGTCAATTGTTTTAAGTTTCCTTTCATAGTACTTGTGTTTCAAATGTTTGTTTTAGCCCAGCTCAAATGTTCAAAGCTTGCTATTTCTCTTTCATGTATTGATTCTACCTGCAGTTTACGCTAACGGGCTTCTGGAAAAGATTTTAATCATGATCCTGTCCTAAACCAAATTTGCAAGCATGGCTGATCACAAAAATGTGCTGCAATTTTCCCTGCCTCTATTTTGAGAAATGAGATTACAGTCTTTTAACTGGCAATGTTAGGTTTGCTCTAGAATCTCTTCTGACGGAAGAGTCACAGAAATCCCATCTGGTCTGAGAGTTCAGCATGTCCCAGTCCTTTAGAGAAACCTTTAGATAAAAATCTGCCCCTTTTGTTCCTCCTCAGGAGAAACCCCTAGTACAATACGGGAGTTATGCCAAGCTGGATCAGGCTCACAGTTTGGATTCTACTGACCTGAGGACAGTAGGAAGAATTTAGTAAGATTATACAACTGTGAAAAGGGGGGTGGTCGGACTAAACTCTGCCCCAACAGCATCTCCACTAATTTTACTACAGCCAGGATTTCTTCACGAGAACTCTAAACTTCAGCAATGTTGATCCGGTTGACACAGTAGAAGCTGTTAAATCCCACTTGAGAACTAACTTTTCTCCCCCGTTTTTATGCAAAGTCCATCTTCCATGTTTCAACATTCTTCCAACCCCTAGATGTTGGCAAGCTAACGCACTCAGCCAGCAGCCAAGTCACCAGAGAGCTGCACACAGGCAGGTGCCGACTCACTCACCCAGAGGCTGTGGGACAGAGGGTCAGGATCTGTATTTGCAGTCCAGCGACCACCAACAACCATATTGCAAATCCACTCCTGTGCAAGATACAGGAAAAGAGCTGATGAGGAAGGGCACTTAATTTTCAAATGTCTTTTAAAATACTTGTTACTTCAGCAGTCACACGATGAAACAAATAATTAGATTTCTTTATTTGCTTCTCAGTAGTTAATAAATATTTACAGGTGGTATTTAAACCCAAACCCAAGCAAGCCAATAAAAAAAAAGTCTCAGAAAAAGACAAATTGCTTTTTTTAAATTTTTTTCTGAGTGTTTAAATCACCTTATGTTTTGGTTTGCTTACAATCCCATTGCTGCGGTGTGTTACAAAACCTTATCTTAAATAATGTTTATAATCTGCTTTATACTTCAGCTGATGTTTAAAGAGTAGAGTAAGAAGTTTGTGGGAGGGCAGTAGGAGTGAATACCACATCAGGTGAATGATCCAAAAAGAAAAAGGTTCAGAAAAACTGAGAAAGATGAGGTGGCCAAAGACAAGGGAATAAATGCTCTAAATTATATTTAGCACCTTTGTGCTCATAAGACAGTAAAAAGGTTATGAATGAACACTTTGTTGATGTCAACAAAGGGCTCTGCAGAACTCTTGGTGCAGTGCCTAGTCTTACTCCCTTTTTACTTATTTATTTATTTATTTTGTGCTTTGCAGAAAGCAGCATATAATGTTGAAGAAGACCAGTCTCAGCAGGTTGAGCCTGCCCAGCCAGCTGAGCAAGACACATACCTCATAGGAGAATGCTTAAGCAACCAATACACACACAAGTCCTGTGAGAAAACTTTTTGTCACCCATGGGAACGATGTGTGGAGGGGAAATGCATTTGTAAGCTTCCCTACCAGTGCCCAAAGAATGGGTCTTCAGTCTGTTCTACCAATGGAAGGAACTTCCATACTTACTGTCAGCTGAAGAGCTACGAGTGTCAACGTCCCGAGGCAAAGTTTCTGCACAAGGGAAAATGCACGTTTGAAGGTATCAACACCTCTTTTTCCAAAACTATCAGTCAGCCATTTGTGGCCAAGGAGATGTTTACTGTTTAAAGCTCAGAAAAAAATTGTTCATTTCTTTGCAGTAGTTAAGAACATAAAACAGAAAATGAGAAGCCATTTAAATTGGGCAGTATCTGTTGATTTTCATAAAAATCATAAAAATAAGGTGGGTGAGTCTCTCAGGTCACACTGCTGCTGCTAGATTGCTCAGATCATCGGGTAGAAAGGAAAGACACACAGGAAAGAGCTCAGAGGTTTCCAAGCAGGGTGTTGGCTATCTTGAGAGGCACAGTGGGAGAGCACCTGCTGAGAACATTAGCAGGGAGGGTGTCTCTTGGAGAGGGAGAGCTCTCACAGGACTGCCAAATCAGTCCTCAGAAAAATCAGGAAGAATGCCCTAAGCTTCTGATTCCCAATCTACTGTTCTTTCCATATGACCTTTGGTTGTCAATACCAAATCAGTCCTGATTGGTTTCTGTGCTGTCTTTCCACTAGATACATCTGTAGAATATGATTTTTATTTGGGCTTTCTTGTCTCTTCTTTTTTTTTTTTTTTTAGAAACATTTTCAGTCTCTCTGGGTCATGAAGATTCAAGGTTGCTTCGAGTAAAACCTGTGAATCAACAGAATGACTTTTTTGTATGTGACAGTGAGTGGACTATGAATGAAGCAAACGTGGCTTGCAAGCACCTTGGCTTTGAATTGTAAGTTTGGGGAATTTGAGTAACTGCAAGGGATCTGAGGAAGTGGCAATGCTGACAGAAGTATCGGTCAGTCAGCCAACAGTTAAGAGAGAAAACTCATGAACAATGTGTTGGCTAAAATATTCTGATAAAGCTTCTTGAATGGACATAGTGAAAGACAAAACGTGTTTTTGTGTTCTATGCCAGGTGACAACTATACAAACCGTTATTGTTTTAAAGCTGAAGACCAAGGCATAAGTTTTCTCTCAGGTCTGTGTAAGGGATAGTGCACAGATGGACTTCTGGGAAATAACCTCCATGCAGCAAAAAGTTTCTTACAACAGGGTACAACTCTGTTTTGCCACTGGCACCAGCCAGACTAACAAGGAGCAGAACAGTGTTTTTTCTTTACCCCTTGCCCCCACTGCCATTGCTTGCTTTGGCCCCAGGGACAGCTGAAAACACACAGAGCTTGTTCTTTTTCCTGTGACCACACTGACGACCAGAGTTGCTCCTCACAGAATCAACTCTGTATCTCTATGTCCTTTGTACGTAATAATTTTACCCATATAAAACTAATTTAAGTTCATCAAGTAGGGCTACCTCCCTAAACCTACCTGAAGACTAAAAACGCTATTCCAGTGCCCTAAATTGTCCCCTCTAGGTGAGAAGCAATAATTTCCTAGTCCTGATCAGTGTCTCTTCAGATAGCAGAGGAGGGTTTGTCCTGGGACAGAGCATTCAGCCCTGGAGCCCCTTTTTAAGTCTCTCTGATTACTTATTTACTCAACTGGTATTTCTTTAAGGTAGGGGCCACATACACTGTCAGGAGGATATTGTGCAGATAAAACCAAAGGAGATAGAATTTATTAATCCCAGCCTTGCAGTGGCCTGAGCTTCCTCAGTGTGCACTGGTTTTGATGACATAAAGGATACTTGACCCCACGCAGGATGGTTTCCAAGTTATGGCTCACCTGTGTCCACACAGAGATAAGAGATCTGAGCTCACAAGTTTTGCTGTGCAAGAAGACTTTTCTATCCAGCATGATACACAGTGACTGTCATAGAGCTACACATGGATTTAGGGACAGTTCCACACAGCAACCTGCAAAAATCAGCACTTTGTTTTACTCCTTCTTCCAAAGTAAACACCTCCCACTTACCCCTAGACAATTCCATGAGAAGTCTGCTCTCTCTCTTAGCCATGACCAAAATTCTTTAACACAGGAATATCATATAAATTCTAAACAATGAAAGCAGTGGACAACCCATTGTGAAATGATATAATTTGTTATTATTTGTATCTTCACAGAGGTGCTGAATATTACCAAGGCAATTCCAACAACACAGACTCTGCCTTAAATTCAATGCACTGTCTGCAAATAACTTGCAGGGGCCTAGAGACAAGTCTTGCTGAATGTCACATGGAGATGAAATCCAGAGATAGTAATGAGGGATTTGTTAGCCTCCAGTGCCATGAAAACCTCAGAGGTTAGTAGGGTTTTTAGTTTTATATCTATTTGGGGTTCTTACATTTAAAGTTTATTTTAAATAATTAGGACTTAGTTTGCTGAACTCTCAGCCACAACAAACCTGGACTCAAACCTTCTGGGTTGTTTGTTTTGTTTTTTTGTTTGTTTTTTTTTTTTCTGAATAATCCTTTTACAGACTTGAAGACAGTTGAGGCAGTCTTGAGTCAAGACAGCATTGAATTTATGAGGTTGGAAAATCACTGTTGCTCCTAGACTATTTTTGCAGTTATTTCCCAAAAGTAAATGTATTTCACCCATGGTTCTGTTTGTTTGCTTATCCTTTCCAAGGGTATCAAGGTATATTGTATCCCACAAGTCCTGTTTCTCCAGGGTTAATTGGTGAGGAGATAGGTGACAACCTCCTGCTCACTGCTTTGCCTGTGAGGGAGATCAATTAGGACACAAGTAGCACTGTAGCCAGACAAGCATGACTATAGCAGAACTCCTGGTGTCTCCTGGGGAGTTTGGAACTCCTTAGCTTCTCAATGATATCATGGGGAATCAAATCCTTACTTTGACTTCTAACAGCTTTCTGTTTTCTGTAGTGGGCTTGTTTTGCCACTGGTAAGCATCAGCCTGAGATGCTGCTGTAGGAGAGCTATGACTCTTCTCATGTTTCTCTCATGCCACAGAAGTAGGAGTTCACAGACACCTGATGACCTCCTTCTACAGGGGGAACATCCATCCTCTTAACCACTTGAAGCATTTACAGTGAGTTTGAACGGATCATTTCTGGTTTAGTCCTTGTTTAGAAGAACTGAAGTTCCCTTCTGCCAGGCTACTGCAAGTTGGAGGAGGAAAATGAGCAGTCACATTGAAAGCTTGATGAGAAGTGATTAAAACAATAAAAAAATATTCCTATTTACATTACTGGGCCCCAGAATGCCTAATATTGATAGGCTAAACTGCTGACAGAGTAAAAAGCACAAGCAGAATATTTCTGTGGGCAGCTGTGAAGCTACAGACATTTGTAGACTAACTTTATTTTCATCGTGCTGCACAGCTTGTTCGGATGGTGAGTTTCACTGTGTCAACAAGAAGTGCATTTCTCTGAATAAAACCTGTGATGGCATCAATGACTGTGGAGACCTAAGTGATGAACTCTGCTGTAGAGGTAATAATTTCCTTTCTCAGCTGCTTCAAAATAATTTCAGCAGAAAACCACCCCTAAAGAATTTTTACAGTGCTGTAATAGCTAAAGTCTCTTCTTCAGTAAGTCACTACCTTAAAGCAGTCAAACAATAGTTTTTGTATGTGCAAGTGCAAAAAAAGTAGGCATACTATAATTTTATTTAAGCAGGCAAGTTATCTCTGAGAATTGGAGTTTCCTTGGAGGATGTGGAAACACAATTTAGGAGACTATTTAGGAGGCTGTTAAACATTGATAGAAAAAAAATGAGCCATGTCAGAATGAAAATGTATTTTTAATTGGGAAAATCAATAGTAATGAAACAAAGACACCGTTTTTCCAATGAACTATCTTTAAACCAAAGTAAGAGCTCTCTCAAATTTATTGCTAGTGCAAGATTATCCACAGAATATGTGTGAACAGTTCCTGTCACGTTGCTTGTTCACAGGCAGTCATTCTTTCAGCATTTGCAATTCCAGATGTAATAATTCCAATTAGAACCAAGGAATGAACCTAGTATGACATGAATGCAGGAGCATACTTTCAGAAGTCAGGTTTCAGGTGCCAAATGGTAATGTGGGTCCCATCACTATCCCTTAATAATCTTGATATTGTAGTCCCACAATAGTCAGTAAATTTAATCTGATAATCATAGAAACACAATTACAGGAATTTTAGGGAAAAAAAAGCAAAACAAAACAAAACAAAACAATAATATATTTAAAGGACATTTATTCAGATTCCACCTGACCAAAATAGTGCTGTTTCAGCTGTATGGGCTGAAAATAATGCTTCCTGGAATCAAAAGAAGTATTTCAGCTGAGTTCAGTGGTCTTTGGATCATATTGGGATATCTGGATACTTCCAGAGAACTATCTTACTTTCTATTAAAAATATATACCCTTAAATAGTAGCTTGACATAAGATTATAAATTAGCTCAAAAGCCCCTGCACTGTTTTGCGTTTGATAACATACAAAGTACTCAACAAGTATTAAAAGGAAGAGGGTTCTCAGGTTTATAACAACATTTAATACAGTGAAGAATTTTACAGGAATAAGTTAGAAATTCCAGTTTCTTCAGAACAGGACTCTTGATTCCTAACCCTGCATTTAGCTCATTCAGCCAAAAACCAGCTTGGACTCTGATCTGGGTAGGCAAATTTGAGCCAACCAGTCATGCTGGCAAAACTGGGGGTCCTTAGGCTGAGGTTGAGCGTGGGCATGTGCTGTGAATGAAACTGGTAAGGAGTGATACCAAGTCTAGAAGTACAGCACTGAACTGGTAACAAAGATACATTTTTTTAAGTCTTAAAACTTCCAAGATTGCAAAATGAGGAGCACCAAGTATTAGCTTCGTTTTACACATACCGAGCCTGCTTCTGTGATCTGGTTATGAACAGCCAAGGCCCCATAACACAGATGTTATATTGTGTTTATATTTTAAACATCTCTCGCACTGTATGAGGGTGCTGAATCATACAATCCTGTGCTTGACATTTGTAATTCTCCTGTTTTACAGAGTGCAGAGGCAACAGTTTCCACTGTCACTCAGATATCTGTATTCCAAGTAAGAATGTCTGTAACAAAGAAACTGACTGCCTCACAGGAGAGGATGAAGCTGGAGTCCTCTGCGCAGGTTTTGTTCTCAAAGATGTCTCTGTTTCTTTTCTTTCATTCTGCTCAGTTGTAACGAGAGTCTACAGAATGTACCTTATTCAGTTATTTAACGAATTAGCAAAACCAAAATGCATGGAAGACTTAGTCTTCCCAATGCTATATTATGGCTAGTGGGAAGAAAAAGTTGCATAATTTTCCTCCCTTTCTTTCTAGAAAAGAATAGCAAGAAAACTAAAAGAAGGAAAAAGCAGATGATGTTTTAGGAGGCTTAGGGCAGATTATGTCATTTGCTAATGTGGCTGTCTATCAAACTGGTGTCCCCTATTTGTGAAGCAAGTGTAGACAGGATGGACAGGAATATTTTCCTCATGGATGAAGAATTCAACTAGTTTGTCAATATAATAATTCTTCTGTGCTGTCCCCTCACTATTGAAAAGATTTTGTTTTTAAATGAGAATGTTTTTCCTTGCTCTGATAAGAGACAAGATCTAAAGCCAAAAGGCAAACACTATTGGTAAATGGTAATTGGTAAAGGTAAACTGAACTCCAAATGTAAACAGTACTGTCAGAAACATGAGAACAGACCCAACCCTCAACCTCCATCTACAAACTGAATTCAATGGGCATTTTGTTTGAATAAAAGCTGACAAACCAGTTTGGGGAAGTATTTCATTTACCTCTCATGTTGAATACCCTCCCTTTCCCTGTTAAAGGAGAGACACACAACAGCATAATCTAAACTGGGGGGGGGGAAATAAAAAATCCTGTTCATGTGCCTTTGGGCCTCAGAAACCTCCAAATGGTTGATGAGGCAGGAGGAGGAATTTCTGTCGTGTCCTCACGGAGGAGAATGGGATATTGCTTTAAAGATCAAAACCCAATAAAAAGGCCACTTCTCAGGGTTCTGTTTCAGGAGGCCTCCTAGGCACGGAAAGCAGAGGCACGGAAAGCAGAGTAGATCTCATGTAGTTACAAATTAGTATCTGCTTGATGTAGGTTATCTGTAGGCTGAGGCAGCCAGAGTGTCTAACAGGAAAGGAAACAGCAGGCACCAGTCTGAGAGAGTATTGCTGTCCATGTGGGACAGCGTGCCCTTATGCATTCAAAACTTTTAACATGATTTTGGCACACAAACATATATTCAAGTAATAGAACAAATTTAAATGTTTGCCAGTATTTTTAGTATTTTGTTATTCTACTACAGGCAAAGACAAAGGTGCTGAAAATCACAGTATGGATGAAGGTAAGTGTAACTAACCCTCCAAAAACAACACCATACCCTCTTATTAGTGGCTTTCTAGCTACCAGCCAGCTGGCCAGATCCAGAACTCTCAGATATTTGGACTCTGTGATTTAGTAATATCCACTCCAAGGTTTACTATTTGTCTTGCTTTCCACTAAGTTCAAGAATGCCATAATAACTAACCCTGAGGACCCACATCTGCATGTTTTGGCAACTGGTGGAGGTAAACTTTCAGGAAGGATGAGGGGGAACTGCTTTAAAACTATTTGCCTGAATGCAAGCAGCAGCAGAAAATGAAGAGAAGTAGCGTGATCCTAAGACACAATTTGCAAAGCAAAAACAGATGGCAAAATTTTTGGTCTTTGTTTTCCTGCTACTTCAGCTACCGGCATATTCACAGCACTTAGATTTCAAGATAAACTCATCACCAAGCAGAGCGAATGGCTATCTGAATTCTGACACAGTCTTCCTTTTTGTTAAAGAAAGAAAAAGGATAAAGACACTTCTTCCCCAAGCACACTGCGGTCTGACAAATCACAAATTAACTCGACGGAAAAGAATCATAGGTGGAGTGAATGCAAGAAAGGTAAATAAAACCCCTTACCAGATATGAGTACACTCAGCATCGATTTCATCAGGCATTATCATCTTTCTGTTAAAATGTACAGAAAAACCAAAATCAGCTACAGGACCGATTTCATGGTTTGCAGCAGTTGTAGCACAGCACTGAGCAGAGGTAAAGAGAAGCACAATTTATAAAGTAAAATACAAAGTTGCAAAATTGAGCCTTACACTACACTGAAAATTATTCACCAAAATACTTACTACTAAAGGTAGAAATAACAATTCTGACAAAAAGGTATTTAAATCTGCACCTTTGAAACAGAATATAGTCAAAAATGCCAGGTCAGATTCTACATCTGTTTTTCTGGCTACAAGGGCTTCCATGACAGAAAACTGAAGGGAAGGAGGCATTGCACAAAGTCAGAAGATTGAACAAAATTACTGCATTTTAGAAGACATATCTGGATAGCAGAATTTTTATTTACAGTCAGATATAGTCAAGGGGATAAAGAACTGGTTCCCTTTATGCACTAAAAATAGTACAATTATTATGATTTCCTATTATTTGTGTGTTTGTTGTTTGAATAGGGTGAATTCCCTTGGCAAGTAGCAATTAGAGACACTGGAAGTGAAGGTTCAACAGTCTACTGCGGAGGGGTTTATATTGGTGGCTGCTGGGTTATCACTGCTGCACACTGTGTCAGGTAAAAACAACAAACCGGGAAATTCTTCTCTTCTTGCAAGGTGGAAAGATTTATTTTGATATTACTGTAGCTACCTGTTTGCTAACTCCTCTTTGGTGACTGAATAAAACTATTTAGAACACTGATTCACCCACATTAATGATGGGGAAGTTTCAGAGAAAGTAGAAAGAAAGATGAAGAAGTAATCATGAGTCTGAAGAGGCACAGCATTCTTCAGTTGGATAGCAGCCTGACAGGAGAAGTTCACTGCAACCACTTTGCCTGCAAGGCAGATGTGAGGGACCTCCTCTCTTCCCCCTTTCTGCCTTGGGAAACTCCAGGATCTGTTTCCTGAGAATGTCCCTGGGGTCATATATTCCCCAGAACAAGCAAAAGCAGATAGGGAAGATCTGCCAGTCCCAGAATCCCACCCACGTCTTCTCACTCTTCTTTCACTTGAAATCAGAGTGGCATAAATGCCTGCTTTCTCTTCGTCACAGCACTGAACACAGAGGCTGGCCTTTAATATTTATTTTTATTTTGTGTGTATTATTTTCAGTACTCCGCAGTAAGTGTCATCTAACTTGCATTTGCTACACTTCAGAAAAACCTGGGCATCAAGTCCAGAAAGAAACTAGGTATATAATGTGAATTTTTATTCTAGAAATATAAACATTGATGAAATGCAAAATTTTACAGCTAGTCGAAATGTACAGTGCTTGTGTTAAGTACCAAAACATTTTATTTCACTGTTTTTTTCCAGGCCAAATCGAGTTCATTTGTACCTTGTCTGGGTCGGACTGCTGCATATCATACAGCATGACAAAGAGACTGATACTTTCAGACTGAAACAACTGATAATCCATGAAAAGTACAACGCGACAACTTACGAAAATGACATTGCTCTGCTGGAGCTGAGAGGCTCTGGGACAGGAGAATGCTCCCTGGAATACAGCACACCTGCCTGTGTCCCCTGGTCAGAGTACATGTTCAAGACTGGTGACAGATGCAAGGTTTCTGGATGGGGACTGGAGAAAGGTATTTGTGTTAGTGCTTACTAAAAGAATGTACTATTTGTACCACTCGTTTTCTAACTGTGGCAAGCTTTCAGAATGAAAGGGCTGTAGAGTAGTTGTGCACCAAGCACTCAGCAGAGGCCCACTACAGCAAACACAGGCTGTGGTTCAGCATTCAGCTGTCACTGCTGCTCCTCTGTTCTGTACTGCTTCCTCTGCTGGTTCAGCCCTTAGTAAACCCATCTGCAAGACACCCCTGGTCGAAAACTACAGTAAGAAATACGCAGCAGCAGTCCGTAAAGCAAATGGGAAGCTGGGCACTGCTAGCAAATGGACAGAGAACAAGAGAGAATCTCCTCAACCTGGTGAATACATAGTCCACCTGTATCTTCAGTATCTGGTTCACTCATCCCAAAAACTCAGAGTACAACTGGGGAAAAAAAAGTAATAAGGAGCTATTTAATAGGAAGCCATATACCAGTTTCCCAGTGTCTGAAAATGTTGATATGGAAAACATAGAGAAACCCTGAGGAAGACAAGGAAAGGGTGAAAATGTCAAAAAATTAAAGTACTGTATTTAACACTGCAATTATACCATTCTTCTTTTATTTTGAAATAAATGGCAAATGTACTGCAGTTCATATGGGGTGTTAGTGGCAATTTAAGATATCTGGTTAATAATATTGAAGATTATCTTCCATAGATAAACAAATACATAACATTTAATTTATGAACTAGAAGTGTCTACTATGTACTTACCATTTTTAATTTAGAAAAGTTTATTCTTTTCTTTTACAGGTTATACTAAACAATATGTCCTCAAGTGGGGCAATGTTAATTTATTTCAGAATTGTTCTGAATTGTATCCAGGACGATTTTTCAAACAAATGGCATGTGCAGGCAAGCATCAATTTTCTTACTTTAATTTCTCTACTATCACACCCACTGTTTATAAGGTCAGACAGGCTGGCTTGGGAAAGGCAATAGATTGCCACGGTTATCACCACTAACAAAATGCTAGCCATTGGAGCCTAGATGCATCCACTGTTATACATCCATTTATAAACAGTTAAGATGACAGTTTGCCAAGTTTCTATGATTATGTGGACAAATTTCAGCATGCAATTTGAGCTACGGTTGCTAAATACACAAGCACTTTACTTTACACTGAGCTTCCTACCTTTACTATATTTGATTCCTGTTCAGCAACATATTTCAGCAAATGCTTGTCTTAGAGCACATTAGTAGTCCCATTGACTACAATGTGACTATTCATCTCCTTAAAGATTTGCTTCTACCTCACTGCACCTCAGGAAAAACATGGTTAACATTTCAAACTAAGGTTAACCTGGCCAAGAAACTGGTGGTTTGTCCTCATACTAAAATAACAATTTTGAAAACACATATTTTGCTTCTCAATTAAGGAAAGGTATTGTCAAATACACGACTGAAAGAGCAATGAGTATTCAACTTACAGGGCAGACAGTTTCCACTGTTCTTTAAATCAACAAGGCAATATTTAAACAAATTATTTAATGAGAAAAATGAAAACCAGATATAAAATCCAAATAATTTATGATAAATTCAGCATGGCATTTGTAAGACACTGTGTTTGTCTACTGTGCAAGTTCTGTAACTTACCCCCTTGATCTTCAACGTATTTCAAGTGATATACTTTACCAGGAGGGAACAAAGACAGGATCACATGGGCCAACAACAGAAAAGGTGTATCTGGGGTTAGCTTCCCCTTCCTGACACAATTCCAAACTTCAGAATTAAGAGCTTGTATCCATGAGAGGTAGTTACACAAACAAATATTACCTAAACTAAGTAAAGGCAATAAAACCTTGCTTTATAGGATTAGTAATTCCAGTTCTGAAAAGTTCACAAAACTCTCTCTCAGCAGTGTAGGGACTCAAGGAGGAGGTTATATTTTTTAAAACTTTTGAGACTTCAGCTTAGTATGGGTTCCTTCATACTTGGTCAATCAACCAAGCAGAGAAGTGAAGTAAGGGCGTTAGAAATTAATAAACTTGTACTGCGTATATAGAACAAAGCATAAATCATATACTAGCTCTGTAGCAGTGTTTCTGTTTGTGTCACATCCTTCACTCTTAATTAATTTTTTCATGAGCACTATATTTGCTGAATTGCAACCAAGTAGTTCTGTGAGCACTGAAACATATGAAGAGCCCCAGATCCTGTGCCTCAGGGACAGAACCTGGTGTCCACACTGTGAGCAACACCTTGCAGTGAGGGCAACTGCAGACAGTTGCTCTCCCTCCCATCCCGGCATTCACACGCTCTCCTTCTTCTAGCTGCCCATCTATTTTCACAAAACAGGCAAAGTAATTTTGAGGCCTCTGCCTTTCTGTACAGCTCTGTACAGATGAAACTGGCCAATGAATTATTTGGTAGAGAGGACACCAACGGCAGACAGGTAGGCATACACATAGTATGAGCTTCGTTTCCACAAGAATCGGCCTACAAATCTTTTTACCTTCTTCCTCCTGGTTTTGCTCATTTTTTATGAGCTACTTCTAATTATATAAAAGGCAAAAGGGCTGAATTCTTCTTACAGGGTAAACAGTCACATCACTGACATGAAAGCAAATGAGGAGAATTTGGGCCAGCCGCAAACATAAAGAGAGGCCCTGCACTTCAAAAGAAATGAGAATTAATAAGTGATGTGGACCTGAAAAACCTCCCGAGCTCCGTTTCACGTGCTAGCTTGTATATGAACTTATTTTTGCTTTTTATTTCCTCTTTTGCTTCAGGAACCTACGACGGCTCCACAGACAGTTGCAAAGGTGATTCGGGAGGCCCCCTGGTGTGTTTTGACGCCCAAAACGTCGCGTACGTGTGGGGCATTGTGAGCTGGGGTGAGAACTGTGGGGAGGCCGGTCACCCCGGCGTCTACACCAAAGTCGCCAGCTACTACGACTGGGTGAGCCACCACGTGACGAGGAGCCTCATCGCACGCCACAACACCTGAGGCTCAGGGAATGAAACGCTTCCGTCCCACCGCCCGTGCAAAAATGAACACTAACCCTTTGGTACAATCAGCAGCCGTGTCACTTACCAACAATTAGTACAAATCTTTGCAGTAGGTAGGCTGAAAATTCTTAACAGTCCACCAATACCACAGTTTGGCAGATGCCTGTAGGAAGAGAATTTCACAGTCACACAAGTCCATATCAAAAGTCTCTAATAAAAGCAGGGAAATGAAAATACCTTTCCTTTGTGTTTGGATCCTTTTTCCACATTTCACACTGCATTTCAGTTGCAGTTGTTTACTTAGAACAGACAACCATACTGAAAGCAGAAGTTGGAAAATGACTGTACTGGCAATGGGTGATCTTCACAGAAAGGACAGCGACCAGAGCACCCTAAAAGAACTTGCATCCACTCAAGGTCTAGGTCACTAGAAACCACCTGGGTGCTGCCTTGCTTTGCAGTTGATTCTTTAAGTTTACTGCAAAAGTAGACTTCGGACCATCTATTAACAATGGTCATAAGATTGGTTGTCATGCAACAATTACCCAAATAATAACTCTGTTTGGTGGTAGCTGGTGAGTAGGTTTTTCAGCCACAAAGTCAGACAGTTTTTATCTAGTTAATGTGCCTCATCTGATCATCTAGCTGGACGCAATTTTTGTAGTTGTAAATTTTATTAATAACCACAGCTGGTCACAAACAACAGGACTTAAAACTTGAATCTTCAACTTAAATAAAAAGCATTGTTACTATCTTGTCTGTGTGTATATATATACATACATATATATTTCTAGGATCCAGCAGGCTCTTAACATCCAGTAGGGTTTATACCACGTGTGTTTATATATACATACTTACACATGCACACAATTTATCATAGAATCATTCTGATTCAAAAAGACCTTCAGGATCATCAGGACCAACCGTTCACCCAGCACTGCCAGGTCACCACTAAACCACATCCCTAAGTGCCACATCTGCATAAGCTATCCATTTTTAGACAGCAGTACTGGTTCCTGCTATCAGAAAACATCAGTCTATACATAACAGTATCACATTCTGCAAGAGTTATGCACAGAAAGTGCACTTTTTTAAGTACTAGAGTTTGGTTTGTGGATTGGTACCCTTGACACAAAATTGTCAAACACCTTCAGGACCATCTCAATCAATTGTATCAAACTGCCCAGTAGGTTTAGAACATACTTCACTGTATTCTAATTTACAAAGGATTTTAATATCTGTTTTACTTTATTTCTCTCAATTATCCTGTTGAATAAAGGGCATATGTTCACATAACACAGCTGCTGTGGTGGTGCTTTTCTATAATTCACCACAGTCTGCTTCAGACAGCATATTTACATTTTCACTGTTTTTTCTTCATCCTCCAGTCTTGTAAAAAAAACACATCAGCATGATTTTTTCTTGTAACAACACTGTCAATCACCAATAACCAAAGTAAGGGTTTGAATTGCTTCTCTTAACCCCCTCCTCCCGCTTGCTATTTAGGAAAGCATTTAAGTATATTCCTACACAGGGATTATTTTGCTGAATCACAGCCTTTGTAAAGTAATCAGAGAAAAGCAGGGAAGGTGTAGGAAGAGCTCCCTCTTTTGTTTGACTTAATTACCGTCTGTAAAAAACTTTTTCCACCTATATATTCAGTGAACTGCAAATAATATTATAAATGCTGAGGCTGAAAATAATAATTAAAAAAAAATCCAGCAGTAGAGTATTTACCATGTTCTGCTTGTTGATCTGGAGGTCTCTCCCTCTGCTTTCCATTTCTTGTAAAGCAGCTAACTTTGTCCTGAGCATTTTACAATGTTCTGAGGGATTCCACATAGTCTTAAAACGGAGGCTTCATTACAAAAATTAAAACAATTTCCACAAGGTTCCACTTTAGCACATCTGTGAAGCATCTAGACTTTAAATATAACATTAATTAAAAAAAAATAATAGCAACCACAAAACCAAAAGAGTTTTTTAGCAAGGAAGTTTGTTTTGGTCTGTTTTTTCTCTTCTGCAAATCAAGGTTGGACTTTTAACACTTTCAACACTTAATAAATATATTTTCATTTTACCCTCTTTTACAACCCTGTCTTGCACATTTGATGATGTGCCTGAAACTGAATCACTCACACGTGTAAAAGTCACTGGATCAGTTTCCTTCACATTGAACATCATCATAGAATTAGGTTGAAATTTTAACACTTTCATGTTCCCTACTGCATGGTTTTTCACTTCTGAACGAGCGTGCTTTCCAACAGCCCGTGTTTTTCCAGCTGTACAAACACAAGTTGTCCCCCAGACCGCACCGAGGGAGAGCAGAGGGGGGTTTGGGGGACTCCGCTCTTGCATGCAGGGCAGGTTTAGTGCCCAGCATCTCCACGGCTGGCTAGAAAACCAGCCTGCCCGTCTCTCCTCCCAAACGCTATCGGTGTCTCTTTCACACTTAGCAATGACAACCTCACCACTCCTAACACAGTCACCAAATTAAGGTTTTCCAAGAAAAAAAAGTCCTGGGGTTTTGTAATATCCGATAGCT